CAACAAATTCTAGGAGTATGTAAAACTTAGAATCACGTGTCTTGCTATTTAGCGCTTTTTTGATCTTATTTTACCTTACGTTCAGTTCCTTGAACCAATTAGCACTGTTTTTCCAACATCATTCGTAGTCCATATTTTACCCAGTCAGCAGTCCGCAGTCCACGTTTTATACCTTGTCCGTGTTTTATACCCCAGTCCACATTTTTCAGTCCGCGTTTTATACATAGAGTCTGTATTTTATACCCAGTCTGCAGTCCGTAGTAGATATTTCATTATACTGACCGCCGTATTGACTGTACTGACATGTATCACAGGGAGCCCGAACGCTGTATTAGCTAATAGAAAAAATTAGGTGTATTTAGCTGTAATAGCTTCCTTTGTTCCTGTGTCTTTATGAGTCGTTTTGGAAGAGATTTGAATTCGATCAGAGATAGCCTGCGTAGCAAGCGTCGAAAGGGGTAGGGGATGTGCTTTTTCTCAGTTCCCCTCTCCCTCCCCTTTTTGTGCCTGCCACGCACACTCACGGTTCTAATATTGTCATGTTAACTATTAACTCTTGATCTACTTGGGAGATGATCTCGGGAAAGTTAATAGTTAACAATATTAAAAACGTGAGACGAACCTTGAGCGTCTTTACTATTTACGATTCGCCGGACAAGCAAACGCATTTTGATAACCAGCAATGTTAACCGCCTGATCGAATTCAAATCCCTTCCAGAATGACTCATAAAGACACATGTACAGGAACAAAGGTAAATACATATTATTATTTTATTAGCTAATACAGCGTAAATACATCTAATTTTTCTATTAGCTAATACAGCGTTCGGGTTCCCTGTGCTTGTAGTCGCCTCGAAGCCGGTTAAGTTACGATGATTTATAGTTCGTTACAAAGGTACTGTCTCCTTTGCGGACTGTCTAGACACGTAGATTTTGTATCCACCCCGAAACAAAATGTCTTTGGATCGTTCGATTCACTGGGATAACATTAAGTAGCCCGAAGCAGAACAGATCAGCAAATCGAGGTCAAGCAGTTACACAGAGTTAATTACAGCTACAGCAAGTACTGACAAATCGGTCTAACGCCTCGCACTACCTCGCACCTGGTTAGTACCATCATTCATTCTCAGGGATTCCCGAGATTTCCAGAAAATTGTTAGCCTGTTTCTATTCCAATATAACTCCGAAAATTCTCAGGAATTTTGGTGCAAATTAACGCTAACTAATCTTCCGGAAATTCCGGCGAATGATTCCCGGGAATTCTCGGGAAATCCAAAGATTTTCTTGAGACATTTCGCACGGGTGAAAACCGTGGAGTGATTTCTTTTGTTACTGTCCCGAGTACAGGATTAAGTTATTAACCCCAGTTGTGCTTGAAATCATAAGCGGAAAAATCAAGAACAACGACTGGCATAATTGGATTTTACTAGTTTTCTAGTTTTAGTGCAAACACATCGCTATGTGATCTTTAATGTAAGCTCCTGACAATATCTGTGATGTGACCTCCGATCCCCCCACCCCCACCCCCAACATATCCCTCTAGCCCGCGATAAATACTAACTGCGATCTGGATTAGCCCATATATACTAGTAGCATTTTTTTAATTTCGAGCACTAGGTGGTAGTTTATGCTGCACTGTAGTGCGCCAGAAGTGGACGCATTCATTCAATTGTGTAGTTCTAGAAAATTTCCATACCCCCCCCCCCACGGAGGGCAACGGAACTTCACAGGGGAGGGGGTCCAAAAGGAGACAATTTCCGATTGAGTTGAAAGCCATCAGTTATTTTACTGTTAATCGGTGTTTCAAAGCAAAAATTATCGTTGTCATCGATGATCTTCTATTCGCGGTCGGCTGAGTGCTTTTGTCACGGGTTGCACGGTAGTTTATGTAATACGATTGTCGTCGACACATGAATAAACTTCCGGTTATCTATATGTTGCTTACTTATACAATAGGCAACTTCCGAGTTCCCCCGGGCCTCCGTTTCAAAACGAGGTTAAGTGCTCAGCCTTTGATATGGAAATGATTTTTCATTCTCATGCAAATAAAACTCATTTCCACAAGAAAGGTTGTGCACTTGGCCTCATTCTGAAAGCGAGGGTTTTTGGAACTCGGAAGTGGCCTATTAGATTGTGGTATTCAGTGTAACGTGGTGACCCCGTCATGTTTTAATAAGCCTTCTTCTAACGTATTGTTAACTGAAAGGAATCGACGTTATTGAAGTTCATTGGTCTGAGAGATGGATCACTTGTGTCAGGAGCTTGTGTCGTGTACGGCCGTACCGCATCCATGGTTCTCAGACTTACCGTTAAAAATTAACTATAAACAAAGACTTCTACAAGGCAAAATTGACATTATTTTACTCTGTATCAACATAAAAAAAAAGATTTTTTTCTCTGTTTATCGCAGAAACAATTATGTTTTGCATAAAATTATAGTGCAACGGCATTTTTGACAGAAATATTTTTCCGGGGGCTACCCAACTAAGTCGGAAAATTGCGGAAATTCTAGTGGGTAGGGGGATTACAAGTACCCCCTGGAACGGAAACTCCAGGGGAGTGGGGGTCTAAAACAAAAGTGTCTTCCGTGGAGGGGGTTTGGATATTTTTTGGAACTACACATTGAACCGGAATGATTATTATTTTTTAAAGGTTTTTTTATGCGTCTTGCAAAACTTCTTCTTGTTAAAAGCTGCTATGATTATTTCTCGGACACATAAAACTTTGGCTTTTTTTTATAGATAGTATATAATTCGGGTATTTCGCACTTTTTTTGCAATAACCAAACGTAAAAAAAGTAAAATTATATTCCGCCAAAAGCAGCTAACTGTTTCATAAATGTATAAGTTTCCCTTTCTATGGGTGTTTTGTCGAGATTGTTTGGCTCTTTAGGTAACCGCCTGGCGCAAAGACACACAAAACAATGTAAGCTACTCAAAAACACCTTAAAACAGTTTGCACGTTTTTTTTACTCAAGTTTCCAAACGGTGATTCTTTCCTTAAGAAGTGGTGGGAATCATTGTTGAAAACCCTTATACTTTTGACAATTCTCCTTAATGAAGTCGGCGTCTTTGGTATTAGTCACAACATTAAGGCTAAATCGCTCTTGTGAAGCTCAATTAATGTGGAGGTTTTATAACAAGGGTAAAAATGGTCGAAACAGTTTACGACTTATGTCAGTCTTCAATGTTTACAACCACGTTTACCGCGAAACCTGGTTTAAGTTTTTTCTTCCCCTTAGGCAATTTATCGCTTGATCCAGGAGGAAAAAAAGACTCGAATAGTAAGAGTTCTCCTTCGTTAAATACAATATCATTATTGATTATGCAGCTATCAATGTTATGCCCGAGGGGGGGGGGGGGGACTAAAGGATAGGGTGGGGACTATCCCTTGGGATAAGATATGTATCCGCAAACTAGGTGATCAAAATCCAGAGAGAACCCAACCCAAACTATTTCCCCATTGGTAGATATGGGAAAAGGTCTAGTGTGACCGGTCCCATTAAAAAGCGAACTTTTTACGTCGTTCTTGTCACCGTACTAGACCAGCCTCCTCCTCAGGCGCTTCGTTTTTCGCATCGTTGAGGCGAGCGCGAAACGCGAGTGACTGGTGATGCACCGCGCGCAAGGGACATTTTCATCGAGAGCGAGACGTCTGGGTACGAGGCAGGTACTAGACTCTTCCGGAAGGCCCTTATACTATGGGAGAAATACGACACCGCAGCGAGAAGAAAGTCAAACAAGCTTTGGGTTTCAGCATTGTTAGAGTCAACAATGAATTAATTTCACTTTTTGTAGAATAAATAACAAGATATTTGTAGCTTCACTTGTCTATAGCCAGAATGAGAAAAGCGAAAATTGAGCAAGAAAAATAAATAATAATATCTGTCCTCTTTCACCCAATCATAGTGTAGGTTAACTTAATTACCAAGGCACATTTTGGCATTAAAAGAGGAAATGTATGATGATTTACTTAGCAAAGTCTTAGAAACAATTCAGGTTAACACTTAATTCGCGGAATGTCATATTTCTCCTGGAAAAACCTGTCGGCCGGTAAAAATGTAATTAAATAAAATTTACTTTTGCTTTGGTATCTTGCGGGCGCAAAACTCGCGCTTAAACTCAAGAAAAACGGAATTGGAATGAAGTACTACTGCAATGGCCGATGACTTAAATTCTCGTAGCCTTCTTTTAGTCGTTGCGGAAGTCAGTTCACTTGCGATCTTAAATGTACTGTCCCTGATAGGGAATTCATTGGTTTGCATTTTAATTTGCAAAGACTCACGACTCCGCACGACAACAAACCTTTACATCACTGCTCTGGCTGTGAGCGATTTGCTCTCCGCTATTTTTGTTATGCCCCTTGGAATTGGTGTGCTAATAACCAGTGATTGGATTTTCGGTGAGGTGATGTGTGAGCTTGAAGCCTTCTTCGTCTGCTTTGTTGCCTACGTTTCACCTGTAACTATGAGTTTAACAGCAATTAACAGATATTTTAGGATTTGCAAATCGGAGCAGCAATACAAGAAATTCTTCTCTCCTTGGAAGTCACGCACCTGGCTGGCTTGTGTCTGGATCGTCGTTGCCTTATACGCTGTGGTTCCAAAATTGGCAGGTCTTCAAAATTATGCCTTCGTTCCGGGATACGGCATATGCGCCCTTGCCTTTCCCAGCTACGCTGGAAAAATAATCAATTACTGTATTGTTCTTAGTCTTTTCCTTGCTATCCCATTAGCGATAACGATGTTCAGCTATACAAAAGTGGCACTTGTGATCCGACAACATAACTCAACCACGTCGTCTACGACTCAGAATCGAGGAAACGCTCGCATCACTTCTCGTGAGATTAGACTCAGTAAATCTCTATTCTTCGTTGTCTTTGCTTTCATGATGTGCTGGGCTCCATTTTGGCTAATTATCATTTCGAAGCGCTTCCGTCTTGTCACGAAAATGCCTCGAAATGTTCAACTCCTTTGCCTATTTTTACTTTATCTGTCTAACACAATAAACCCATTCATCTACGCAGGCATGAACCCTGTGTTCAGGAGAGAATTTCGCAAAATACTTTTCTGCCAACGAAGACGAAGGATTGGTGTTTCTACTAGTACTGGAGCTGGAGAAGCAAAAAACGAAGAATCGCAAAGCGTCAGTCTTCGCCAAAACGGTGAACAGATATCTACTGGTGATCATTGCACGCCCCAAGAAATGGGAGAACGCTAATAAACAATTATTGGATGAGGTTTTTGTGATATCCGGAATAATCAAGGTCGAGGTAAGTGTTATA